TATATATATATATATATATATATAATATATATATAATATAATTCTGAATTTCTGGATAATTGCTGACTAGCCGCGAAGAAGTCCAGACGATCGGTTACCCTAAAATTCTTACAAAATTCTTACAAGGCAAAAGGAAGAGAGAGAGAGAGAGAGAGAGAGGAGAGAGAGAGAGAGAGAGAGAGAGAGAGAGAGAGAGAGAGAGAGAGAGAGAGAGAGAGAGAGAGAAGCTTCCAGCCGCCGACGAGCAATGACCACCTGCAGGTTCAGGAGTGGAAGGCGAGGTGGGACGTCCAACGCTTCGTAAGTGACTCTCGTAGTGGATCTTGGCCCATGTAAGGATTTAAGCAGCAAGGTCCACTGTGCTTTAGTTAAGAAATTTATGCAACCGCAACGTAGATATAATGATATATCTTTTGTGCATCAAAGAAGCAATGCAACGGTGTGAAGATTTGTACGTGTGCGAGTGTGCGTGTGCGTGTGTCCTCGCGTGCGGGGTGTGAGTACGTTGTTAAGGAATTAATCAAGAACTGTCTCATATATGTATGTGCGAGTTTATGAACAAAACAGGAACTATTAACCTCCGCAAAAAACGATATGAAGAAAAGACGCGTTATAATTGCAATAAAAGAAAAAAAATCCGATAAAAGCGGTGTCAAAAATAACCCGAAGATGATGAAGCAAGAACGCAAAGAATCAGAATGAGATAAGAATTCGTAGAACTAAAATTCAAAGTCCAACAAAACACGAACAGACTCAGACGGCAAGAGCTAGCGAAATTCAGAGAGAGAGAAAAAAAAAAAGACAATGCAGTCCCTGTCCCGAGTAAAAAATTCTTGAGATAACATCACTTTACACACACACATACACACAGAACAGCGTAGGGCAAGGTTAAATTCGTGGACCAGAAGAACAAGGCGCTTTACGCTAAGCAGTAAAATTAACCCTCCAATACAACTACAAGGAGGGATCGGGGGTCTCGTAGTACGGAGGAACTGGGTGGCCATGAGGTTTAAATGTCCACCAGCCAGCCACATCCCTGCCTCACCAACCACTACGGTTATCAAGTACCCCGTGGCTGGCGTGCAGTGACGAACACGCATACACACACACACACACACACACACACACACACACACACTGGGTAGGATGGTTGGTTGGGGAGGGAGAGGGAGGAGGGAGGGAGGAGGGGAAGGGAGGAGGGGAGGGAGGGAGGAGGGGAAGGAGAGAGAAGAGAGAGAGAGAGAGAGAGAGAGAGAGAGAGAGAGAGAGAGAGAGAGAGAGAGAGAGAGAGAGAGAGAGAGAGAGAGAGAGAATTAGAATAGCCATAACAAATTCTAAAAAATTGTCAACACAATAATCATACAAACTACCATACAATTCCCACACAAATTTTAGCAATATACTTAAATATAAATTGTATATTACATTTCAAGTAAAAACAATGCACTCAAACAATACACAGACATGAATCACTGCCATACTAAAACACATACACATTGTATACACACCCACACAAACACACACATACGGAGTCGGTCTACACACATGTCCGTAACAACAGTTTGTACGTCTGGCGATCGATAAAGTGTAAATATCTAGTACGATATGTTTAGGTCTCCCTCAGTGGAGAGTCTTGAGGTGACATGTACAAGTAACCTTCCTTCATATCTCTCCAATGGAATGGTCCTTTCGAGAAGCATTACATGGTGCCCAGGAAACAAAAATATATTCTTGCAGCATATGATAAAATTGATATGCTTTCTGGAGAAACACTTCTTAAAATATGGATAAGGAGCTGTCACTTACCTGCTACTGGTGTTATGCGTTTGATATTGCAGAAATCAATATGTGTTTTCCGTCTTTTTGTACTAGGGATTTTGATTATGTATCTGGGAATCATCCTGATACAATATTTCTCACACGACGGAATATTCTCTACCAAGGAATTCGATTTGAAAATATTAACTCCCCTCCCATGAAGGCCTGGCGTCCATGGGATCAAGGTTGGATATTTTAATGAACTTTTATTAAATCTACCCATGTGTAATCGGCATGTGCATCATTTCCATGGAAACTAGTCCTGTGGAAAGCTTGCAATCAGAGATATTCCTAGCTAAGCAGGGGCTACCTCACCGCTCCGCCATGGCTACACAAATCGAATACTGACGCGCACACTCTCACTATTTTACTCCATTCCTAGCACTTCCGCATTGCAAGTAGCCCCTGATTAGGATCATATAAGAGCATATTTCTTGCGGATGCAAGCCAAAGATAAAAGAGGAGATAAACTGAAGGCACAGAGGATAAGAAGAAAATGTCTAGCTTCTTTGTGCTCGGCATCCAACATGGCAGCCAACCCCCCCTCCTAGGATGACGCTTGCCACCACTGAATTTTCTGCTTTTTCACCACCAAACCTCACCTTTCCGCTGTTTTCCGAAGCCTCATTTAAAGTTTGACCCTGCAGCTTTCTTGTGACGTAACGTAGCTGGTTGATCATATTTTTCTCCGCAGTAAATTGGAAAGGAAACTGATGCGAACACTTCTATTCTCACAGCGGCTCTTGGGTGTATTACCCGTTTTTAAAAAGTAAGGTCTTCTCTTCACTCACTTTTTGCCATTTCTACTCCATTTTCTCAAATCGTCTTTCGTACAACATCTCACTCACACAGTATTTTGTTTACCATGACCATTTATCATCTAAACCAAAAATGGCCGAATACTAAAGGCGGCCGTAGCGCGCATGTCCCAACTGGCGTCTGGCGATACTACAACTGGGCCTCATTCACCCAGGCGCTGCGAGTACGAACAGCTGGCAGGATGGACTCGCCGACCGTAGGGGAGGAAACATCCCCACGTAAACCCGAAATTTTAGTTTTCTGGCCGTTATTTCTAATGCATTGCTTTCTTTTGGCTCGCATTTACACTTTTATTTGTATTTATGATGAACTTAAAAACAAAACATAGGTTTCATACATTTCTTAAAAAACATGTGAGTCACCATTAGAAGGGTCCTCCCCCACACATTCAATGGCGCTCTCACGCACTGGAGTAAGCTACTACGAAATGTAAGGAGGAATCTCAAATTTAAATTGCGGTTATTGGGTAGGTAGATATGTTAATTACCCGTAATGACATAAAGAATGGTCATCCTACACTCAAAACCGAATTTATCTATGGTTATTCCGATGTCACAAAGAGTCAATAGACAAAATGAAGACACTGTCAACCTTAACGATGACGTTGACTTGGCAACGTCGCAGCTAATACTATGACAAGAGTCTGTAAACAAAACAAGCGAAGACCGACCTTATGTCACTCACCAATAGGATCCCAATAAGTTTGCACCTCTAGTTCATAGGCGACTGAGCCTAAAACGGAGTTAAATGAGAAGTCTTGAGATGGTGGGAAGTAGATAGAAAGAGGGCGAAAGACGGGGGTATTCCTGGCTCGACGGACTTGAGGGGGGAGGTGTAAGGAGTAAGGGGGGAGCGAGGTGTGGGGAAGGGGGGAACTGGTGACTAGCCGCCTGCAATAGACCAGGTTCCACTTGGCTGCTCCTTCATCTTGGAGAGCACCTTCACTACCTTCTCGGTCCACCTTGGCAGGCGATGGGGAGTGAGCGAGCCACAGCTTACTGTTCCAAGACGATCCTTGCCTCCTCTGCTCTTCTTCCCCCTTTTGTCTGGAGGGAACTGTCACTGCCGGGCCACTGCGCAGGCGCATAAAAATGTCACACCAGGAACACTTCAGGAGGCGGTTTTCCAAATCCGCCACTCCCTCTCTTCCACCTCTACCCCCTACCCCCCCCCCCCCTCTCTCTCTCTCTCTCTCTCTCTCAGTCTCTCTCTCACTCTCTCTCTCTACTCGCCTCTCCATCTCTCTCCTCCTCGTGGCTTCTCTCTCTTTCCTCTCTCTCTCCTCCTCTCTCTCTCACTTGTTCCTCCTCTTCTCGTATCTCTCTATCATCTTTTCACTTACTCTCCTACATTCGTGCCCCACTACCCTTCCTCCCATTTCCCTCCGTCTCCGCCTCCCCACCATTATTCCACGTTCGTGCGCTTGCTCCTCTCTCTCTTCTGTCCCTTCCCCATTCTCCCCCTCGCCTGCGCTCCTCATCCTCCTTCCTCCTCTTCCTCTTCCGTTGCGCCCCCTCTCCCTCTTCTCTCCCCTTCCATTCATCCTATATTATTACTCCTTCTTATCAGGTGTCTTCCTCAACTTCTTCACATTTTATGGGCACTCTCAGTTGTTGTTCGTCTCTACTTATGCTTCGCTATTACCTAATTCCATGCTGTTAAGTGGTCCACATAGCACATACACCCACACCGTATCATAGACACACCACCCACATTCAACCTCTTCAACCACACACACTCTCCCCCTTCCCTTCCTCACACTAACTCCCGCTACCATCTTCACAGCCCACTATTCAACATATCTTATATAAAATTAATATCAATTCCCTACTTTTTCACCCTATACTGGTATTTATTTATCCTATACAACCCACTTCATATATAAATTCCCTTTCCTCTTCTTATTCACTATCCTCCTTTATCAGTATATATATGTCTTAAGGTTCTCTCATTCCCTCTACTTACTTATCTCTAATTTAACCTTAATATATATATATACAATATATATATACATATATATATAAATTATATAATCATAATTATCTTTCACTAATAATATATAACCAGCGTTTAAATGCCGGTTTACCGGTATACCATATAATCTTTACAATTTAATAAGAAATATGTACCTATAAATATTATTATATATATATATAGCTGAGGGTATATATATAACGACCCCCACTTATATTCACCATAATAATAGGTTTAATAGATTGTGGTGTGTACGCATATATATATAATTATCATATAATATTATAATTAATTCTATTAGTATATTTATTTTTTCTCCTTATTATTATTATTACTGCTGTGTGTTGCTGTGTTGTGTGTTCGTTTGTGGTGTGTTGTGTGTCGTATGCTGTGGTGCGCATTCATAGTTATCATATGAGTTATTATTTATACTCTTTCTTCTTTACTCTCTTACTTTTTTCCTCTTCTTTGGGATCTTATTTATCTCATCTATATTATTATTATTTCCTTCTACTCTTTATTATATTCTTATTGTTATTTCTATCTAAATTTCTATAGATAAATTAATAAATAATATTATTTTATTTTATTATTCATTTTATTATTTTACTTCTTTTTCTCCTTTCTAACATATTAATTAATAACTTTTTAATTTTATATTATTATCTTAAATTATTCTTAAATATAATCTTACTTATATTTTTAATCCTATATTTCAAAATTATTAATATAAAATTTATCCTTTATCTTAACTCATACCCTTTACCGCCTAATACTCACCCTTATCTGTCGTGTTGTGTGTGTGTGTGTGTGTGTGTTTATATATATATATATTATATATATAATATATATATATATATATATATATATATATATATATGTGTTGTGTGTTGTTGTGTGTGTTGTGTGTGTGTGTGTGTGTGTGTGTGTGTGTGTGTGCATATGTTACACACACACACACACACACACACACCACATATATATATATATATATATATATATATATATATATATATATATATATTTTACACATTTACATATGCACATATATATGTAACACATATATATGTGTGTGTACATATATAGTGTGTGTGTGTGTGTGTGTGTATGTGTGTGTGTGTGTGTGTGTGTGTGTGTGTGTGTGTGTGTGTTTGTGTGTGTGTGTGTGTTGTGTGTGTTTGTGTTTGTGTGTGTGTGTGTGTGTGTGTGTGTGTGTGTGTGTGTGTGTGTGTGTGTGTGTGTGTGTGTGTGTGTATCGACTTCTTATTTTTCGGCGAGTAAGCATAGACCCGTGCAATGTGCCTTAAGCGAGTCGGGGCAGACGCTGTACTTTCATCGCGCTGCGCCGACGCACACACGCTCATGCACACACAGCCATTCGGAGCCTACACGGGCGAGCGCCGCGAGAGCAGGGGAGCCCTTCGACCGACCGCAGATTCATTCAGGGCCGAAAGGATGCCGCTGCGATCCGTCGGAGTGCCAGTCGTCCGCCTACGCCCTCGCAAGTGTGTCTCTGAAGCTTTTCACACTCGCTCCTAATTCGCACGTGAGAAGGATGTTCAGGCTTAAAACACAAGAATTCACTTACAGAATAACGAACCATGAAACGAGTGTAGACACACAGTGCTAAGCAACGATTTCTTTACAACGGCACACTTACTGTAAATATTGCAATATGACCCTTACGTATCTTAAGAATGCAGACTTCATGTTGCGCGTGGATGCATTAGTCAGCAGGATTACCAACCACATGTTCAAGTGTAGGAGTGACTTCAGCTTCAGTGGTGTCCGTGTACGTGTGTGCGTGCGTGTGAGTGAGTAAGTCTGTGTGTGTATGTGTGTGTGTGTATGTGTGTGTGTGTATGTGTGTGTGTGCGTGCGAGTGAGTAAGTCTGTGTGTGTATGTGTCTGTGTGTGTGTGTGTGTGTGCGTGTGAGTGAGTAAGTCTGTGTGTGTATGTGTGTGTGTGTGTGTGTGTGTGTGGAGGCACCTGTAAGTGGAAAAGTAAATTAAGGGTCTTACTCCATTGCATAATAATGTGCTACCTTATATTTCAAACTGATTAAACAAAAAAAAAAACAAGGGAGGATTGGTTGTGAAAGTCTTTGGAATATTGCTTAGCATATCTAGCGTTTGGCAATACTCAGCGATGCATATCTTCATCATATAAAATTGTTTAACGTACATTTCAGCATAAAACAAAAAAACAACACAGTTACGTAATGCGGTCTCTCTCTCTCTCTCTCTCTCTCTCTCTCTCTCTCTCTCTCTCTCTCTCTCTCTCTCTCTCTCTCTCTCTCTCTCTCTCTCTCTCTCTCTCTCTCTCTCTCTCTTCTCTTTTACTAGCGCACGCGTGTTGGTTTCCAGACGCGTGTGTGTGTATGTGCCCGGGTGCGCGTGTGTGTGCGCACATGTCTCACTCACTCTTACTCTCTCTCTCTCTCTCTCTCTCTCTCTCTCTCTCTCTCTCTCTCTCTCTCTCTCTCTCTCTCTCTCTCGAACTATCTATCTATCTATCTATCTATCTCTCTATCTATCTATCTATCAATCTATCTATCCATCCATCTATCTATCTATCTATATATGTATCTATCTATCTATCTATATATGTGTGTATGTATGCATGCATGTATCTATCTATCTATCCATCCATCTATCTATATCACGTGTGTGTGTGTGTGTGTGTGTGTGTTGTATGTATATAAACCTACACACACACACACACACACAAACACATACAACACACACACACACACACACACACAACACACATACATATATATATATATATATATATATATATATATATATATATATATATATATATATATATATATATATAACATATATATGTATATACATTATATATATATATATATATATATATAT